AGTTGGTGTCAGAGAAGAATAGCTTAAGGATAAAAGGACACTAGAAAATCCTATGTTTAAATAGTCCATCTGGCCATGGAGTGGCAGAGCAGTGATTTGAGGCATAAGACATAGATTAAGTATTATTGTTCAGTCAGGGAACTGAAATGCTTCTCTGTATATAACTCTCTACCCTTGGTTAAGCTAAGTTTCTGTGGAAACCAGGAAATTCAAAGTGAAGACAGTTTTTTTTTTTAAATTTTTATGCCTTACTCTGCTCTACCTGGGCCATCCTGACATAGCAAATGGCACATCAGCCTCAGGAGCAACTTCGAGGGCTTAACAGTGAGAGTGGTCTCCACTTTCATACATCTGGGAAATTTTTAAATTCAAACAGCTCAAATATGTTGAAAAAAAAAAAGAAACCCTAAATAAAATAGGTTGAGTTGCATTGGATGTTTGTCCTCAACAGAACGAATAGTCATTTTCCTAGTTGGTTTTACTCATTATAGTGTGTTAGGAATTTGAAATCCAGTTAAATTCCCCTTTCCATCTTCTATATTTGTAAAATAATATGCTTAAAATTTTATTTTCCTGGAAGTCTTCATTAAGGCTGTTGAAATGTTTTGTGCTAACCACTTACCTGTTCAATAAGACCTAATCCATTTCTTTTTTGTTATTTAATATTGCAGAAGGTTTAACCTTGCAAAACATTTTTGTCATCTGTGGAGGAAGATACCAGTTAGGGGAAGTAAAGGAGCCAGAATTGCAACCTCTCACACTGTAATAGAGGTGGCTTGGACAATGGCTGTATTCCTCTGAGATCCCAGAACCTACCCTCTGTTCTTTGACTTTCCATTGGAAGGGTGACAGTGGCTTCCTGCCATGTCTACACTCTTTGTTGTCTTCCCACCCTTACCTGACCCTTTTTCTTCCATCCCCTTTGAATTAGTTCCCTAGTTTGCATCATAATATTGAACTACCTGGTGGCTATTTTTTTGTTCTCAACTAGACTCCAATTAAGCCAGGGACCAATTGCACTTCATTTTCTAAGTGTTTAGTTCAGATGATTTGGGACTTTGAAATCTTTGAGGAATTATTATTATTTTTTTAATTTAATTTAATTTTATTTGTGAACATTCTGTACAGAGGGGTTACAATTACATGGACAGGATAATGCGTACATTTCTTACCAAGCATTGCAGCCTCCTCCTTTGGTTTACCCTTCATATCCCTTT